ATGTTCATTAAAAAGATCATTATATGGACTAAAGCAAGCGAGTAGAGTCTGGAATATAAAGATTGATGGTATTCTTAAGAATTTAAATTTGAAAGCGTCAAAAACAGAACCTTGTCTATATTATGATATTAATGAAAATTACATTATTATTATTATTTTGTATGTTGATGATATGCTCATAGCTTATAATGATAATAGGAAGTTAAACGAGTTGAAAAGTAAACTAAAGTGTGAGCTAGAAGTAAAAGATCTCGGTGAAGCCAAATATTGTGTAGGAATAGAAATCGTCAGAAAAGGTAATAAAATTTTTCTTAGGCAGAGAAAACATGTAAACAAGATTATAGAAAAATTTAATTTGATTAATGCGAAGGTATGTAATACTCCGAGTGATAGAGGTTTATTGTATTCTTTGAAAGAAGACAAATCGAGTATAGAATTGCCTTATCGAGAACTTATAGGAAGCTTGATGTACTTATCTGTTGCAACTAGACCAGACATAATGCATAGTGTAGTATTTCTGTCACAATTCAATACGTGTTTTGGAAAAGAACATTGGAACGCTGCGAAACGAGTAGTTAGATATTTAAAACACACTATTAATTATGGTCTAATGTATAAAAAAAATAATGACTTTGAGATTAAAGGATATGTAGATGCTGACTGGGGTTCCAACGTTCTTGACAGAAAGTCATTTACTGGATATGCGTTTATGTTCAGTGGTTCACCTATCGTATGGAAAAGTCAAAAGCAAAAAACAATTGCATTATCATCTGCAGAAGCAGAGTACATGGCAATGTCTGAGTCCAGTAAAGAAGCGATGTTCTTGAAGAATTTATTGTTAGAATTAGGTATAGAAATAAAAATAGTAATTTATAACGACAATCAAAGCGCACAGTTGCTGGCGAATAACAGCATGTTCCATGCGAGGTCAAAACATATAGACCTACGTTATCATTTCATACGGGATACTCTAAGTAATAAAGTTTTTGAGTTATTTTATTTACCAACAGAAAAAATGGTTGCGGATATAATGACCAAACCGCTTTGCAAAATGAAACATTATTTTTGTGTTAACAGTTTAGGAATGCGAGAAATTATAAGTGAGAGTGATTGTGACAAGCATGCATTGAGGGGGTGTGTTGAGACATGTGAGCTGGCAACGCATGCTGGTCTGCGGGGCTTATGATGCGTGCGCCACTTCCGGTTTTGTATCTTTTGCGTACTTCTTATGTTCGAGCATATAGTAAAGAATTTGTTGGTGCTATACATTTTGTTATACCTTTGGGTTATACCTTTAAACCACGCACTGCTATCAGTGTTATACCTTTAATAATAATACATAAAAACATAAAACTATAAAACTAAATTGTCGATACAGAAACGGACCAGAATTGAGGGGCTCGACAGTAGTACTCCGCGATCTTGGGTTCTACCCAAAAGACTTCCCCTAGATCAGTGGGAGGCACTTGTTCGTGCAGTCAAGCAGCCAATCAGTAATTGTCAAAACTGAACAAATTGTTGATTGATCTTTGACCACGAACTAGGCCCAACGAAGGCCCGCCCTAGAAGACGTTTTCACTCGCGGGGGAGGAGCAAATAACCGGAGCCGACGACATAAAAATCGTCGTCACGAGGAAAAGACACAATCTCGAAAAGTATTTCACGAGCACGCGTTTAGAGATTAATATTCTCAACGTTCGCGACAATTCATAGACTGTTCTGTTCTGCATTTTACAACTACCGTGTCTAAAATCCGCGAATTGTACGAACAATTAGTTAAGAAAAATGGCCGAAAGCAGTAATAGTGGTAAATGCATTAAATGTGACGCATCGCTAAAAAAATTTCGTGGGATAGTGAAACGGATTATCAAGGAAAATGAAGCTGTTAAATATCAGAAGCACTGTGCCAATACGGTGACAATAGGATCTGTATTTTGCGGTAAATGCACATTAGTTACTTATAGAAATCAGCAACCGAGTGAAAATGACAGTACTGATACTGATGACAATGTAACCCGGATTTCCATGCTGGAACAAGTAACTCTCTTGAAGCCGTAGTGGAATTACCCTTTAAAATAGTCGTGCATACACATAAATGAGGGAATGTTACAAAGTAGGTGCGCGCGGGAGCGCGTATGCTGTGTGTGTGCGTGAGGACAGTGGACGATCGTCCTGTTCGTCTGCGACGAGTCAGTCGCTAAGGTGGAGTCAAAGAAAAAGCACGTGTAAAGTCCATCAGATTACCTATTTTATTCTCATTAAATATTGTTCCTCATTTAAGTGGTTAGATTACCGTCTTTTCGTCACCCCTCTCTACCACATCCTACAAATGGGGGCTCGTCCGCCGAGAGGATAGTCGAGAAAACGGGTTAAAAGTGGAAAAGTTCGAGCGGTCGTACTACGAAGTAACCACAAAGGCATAAAGTGATAAAGTGATAAAGTAAGCTTAGTGGCGAATCAGTGGTGTGAGCGAATCGAAAAAAACAGAAAGTAAAAGTGACTTGTGAGTGAAAAAATAGAAGGAAATGGATAAAACGGACGACGGAAATAACGGCAGCGAAGAAACCGTAATGGCCAGCGAGATTGCGACGCAGAAAGAAGAGAAATCAAAAGGCAAAGAAATCGACAAAATGAAAATCAGTGAGCTACGCAAAAGGTTGAGCGAACTGAGACTGGAAGCGACAGGTAAAAAAGCAGATTTAAGAGAAAGATTAAAGAACTACATGAAAGGCAAGGATGACATAGAAGAAGAAACTGAAGAATCTGAGGAAGACTCAGAAAGTGAAGATGAAGAATTTGATAAGACCGGAAGTAAGCAATATAAGGGCAGATCGATGGGAAAAGCGTGCAGCGGACAATCCAGTATTTTTACAATTAAAGATGTTGAGGAGTCCATACCGTATTTTGCAGGCGACGATAAGTTACCTATCAAAAAATGGATCCAAGATTTCGAAGACATGGGTACGTTATTGCAATGGAACGATCTGCAGATGCTGATTTACGCAGAACGCATGTTACGAGGGTCGGCGAAATAATTTATCACGGCAGAGGAAGGTATCCGATCATGGGGAGAATTGCGTAAGCGATTGGAAAAAGAATTTAAAACGGAGACAAACAGTGCTGTGGTACATTCAGAACTGTATCAACGGAAAAGATTGCCTCAAGAAACTGGACGACAATATATATATTCGATGCGCGAAATAGCCAGCGAAGGTAACGTCGAAGAAGGTGCCCTTATCGAGTACATAATTAATGGAATTCAGGACAGAGAATATAACAAGGCTATTCTGTATCAGTCACGTACGATAAAAGAATTGAAAGCTAATCTAGAAATATACGATAAAATGAAAGAAAAGGCTGGAAGGAAGTTGAACTATGGTAAGAAAGAAGAAGTAAAAGAAAAGAAAGAGGCATCCGCTAAAATAAAGAAGCCTCGTTGCAACACGTGTGGATTGCCAGAACACGACGCTAAGAACTGTCCAAATAAAGGTAAGGGGCCAAAATGTTTTAAATGTAACAATTTTGGGCATATAGCGAACAAATGCACGGTAAAAGAAGGAAACAATACCGAACCTGCAAACGTAAATTGCATTGCGAATCCTAAATCGACATACCCAATAAAGATAAACGAGAAAAAATGCCAAGCGTTAATTGACTCTGGGAGCGATAGCTCATTGGTACGAGAGGCGAAGCACAGGGATATCGGCAGACCGGGATTAGAAACCACGGCGATGAATATAACCGGCGCAGGCAACGCGACGACGAAGGTCGTCGGCGCCTTTGATTCGGACATACTGGTAGATGGAGAGACACATTATTGTAGTTAGGATATTCAATAAAAGAACCGAAAGGTAAAAGAGTTTGATTTAATTAAATATGAAGAAAATAAAGTCCGTGATCATTCGAGGCTCTGGAAGGACTGCCGGCGCGTGCCACGCTGCAGCCGCCCGGTAACGCATTTTTGGAAAACAAAGACCTAACGGGGACTTTCCGTCTGCATGGTTCCCCGATCGATAGAAAGACGAGAATGTTCCAGCACACACATACATAAGGAAAACCATAACGGTCGAGGATAGACATTGTAATATCTCAACACTCCCCCTCAATGAATATCCTCCAAAAAGAAAACATACCAAAAAAAAAAAAAATAATACAACTACACTTCCTTAATACTATTCTGAAAAATCAAACTTTGAAATTTTTGCTTCGGTAATGCCTTCGTGAAGGGATCGGCTAACTGTTCATTCGTTTTAACATACTTAATATCTACATCTCCTATTTTATATTTTTCGCAGGTAAAATAATACTGTAGGGTGTAAACGATTTGTGGTGCGTGCGAACGGTCGGTGTCATCCCGCGACGGGATGGCACCAGTATGTTTGTGGATTTGAGTGCCTGGGTCTTGAAAACTTTCGTGAGGTATGAATTGGTCATTGTTGCGTGCGTGCGGTCGGTGTCGTCTTGCGTCTGGACGGCGCCGGGATGTTTGGGAAATAGGGTGACTGCGTTTAGAAAATGTCGAGTGGCTGAAAGAATGCGAGGAAGAGTGTTTGGAACTGAGCGACTGAACCGTGAGAATGAAACGATTAGCAAGGCGTGTACGTGACTGCGTGAACCTGGACCATGGATGCGAGGATTTTGGGTGTGAGTGAAAAGGGATGATTGCGTGAGAAAGATAGAGCGACTGAGGGTGAATGCTATAAGTGCGTGAATGTTCGGCGGCGCGGCAGTTGATAGGCGACATTGAATAAGCGAGAGTGCGTTATAGCGAGAGAAGCGATTTGTGTTTTATTATTGTTCTGTTATCCTATTTTTAATAAACTATTGTTATTTGTTTGACGAATCCTCGTCCAAACTTTATTTGCGAACGACCTCTCCTAGCCAACACACTAGTTTCCTACAAACTTGGGGGCTCAGCCGGGATTTGAAAAGAGCCAGTGTAAGTGTTTGAAAATCGTGAGTGCAAAGTACGTGTGAAATTTTGTTTGCGAAGAAGTACGATGAACACGCTAACGAAGACCTTGCACGACTTCTCTGCGACGGAGCTGCGAGACAATCTGCGGTCACGAGGACTATCAACAGCTGGGGCGAAAGCGGAACTGTATAATCGGTTGTTGGAGAACGATCCTACGGGCGAATGGATGAGGGAAGCCGAAGTCCCGAAGGATGCGAACCCGCGAGCAACGGAGGCAGCAAACCTGCCGTGCGACATTTATGGCGAGAGCAGGCGGATGCAGAAGGAGTTGGAACTTCTGCAGCGGGAAAAACTCCTGATGGAGCGCGAGCTCGCGTTGGCGCAGCGCGAGATCGAAACGCTGCGTATCAGTCGATCTGCAGCTAGCGATGGCGATCAAGAAGCCAGTGTGTTGGTGAACGCGAAGTTGTCCATCAAGCAGCTGACGGAACTGCTGGACCACTTCGACGGAAACGATAGTGCCTGCGAAGATTGGGTTGCCAAGGTGACGTACCTGCGCGGGACCCACAAATTAGCGGACGAAGCAGTGAGGGTAATGCTGATTCAGCGAATGCGAGGAAAGGCAGCGGAATGGTTTCACTCGCGGCGTGAACACCTGTCCATGCCGATAGACGAATTATTGGGCGATTTGCGGAAGATGTTCCAGTGCCACACGAGCAAGATGGAACGGAGGAGGCAATTCGAGGAACGACAGTGGAAGCGGGACGAGAAGTTTGCAGATTACTTTCACCATAAGGTAATCCTGGCAAACAGAATAAAAATCGACGAGGATGAACTGGTGGACTATATCATTGCGGGGATTCCTGACCCAACTCTGAGGGACCAGGCACGGATCCACGGGCACGCGTCTAGGACAACCCTACTGGCGGCGTTCGAGCAGGTGTCGTTACGGGGAAGACAACAGACGAGCGGACCTGCGAGGCCATTCAACGGGGAAGCAAAGGGCAGTAGCAGCGGTTACCCGAAGGTGACAAGCGAGAGGAGAAGCCCAGCTACGCAGCGGAGGTATGACCGGTGCTTTTATTGCGGGGGTCGCGGACACGACGGGTCGAGTTGTCCGTCGAAAGGAAAAGGCAGGAAATGTTTCGAATGCCAACAATTCGGGCATATTTCGGCCGAGTGCCCCACTAAAAGATCGAGCGTTTCGAAATCAAATTATATAGCGAAAACCCAATATTTTAAGAACTGTAAAATTGTTAGCATCCACGGTATAGCTATGTCGGCGCTAATCGATACCGGGAGCGATATTTCGTTAATGCCGTACAAACAATATAAAATAATCGGTTCACCCAGATTGACACCCACCGAAACGCGATTCCGGGGTGTGGGTGCTCAAGAAAACAGATCTCTGGGGAATTTCACCACGCGTTTAGAAATCGACAATTCCATGTATAACATAAGCGTCCATGTAGTACCCGATAACCTAATAGATCACGACGTATTGATCGGCAACGATTTCCTGGACACCGTCTCGGTAAACATAACAAATGGACATATTAAAATTATGAAAACGGATAAAAGCATGTACGCGGAAGCTGACGACAAAAACATCCCGGAGGTATACAAAATTGATTGTATATGCGAGCGCGACGAATTAGACTTATCAAATATAGAGCAAGCCGAATACCGGAACACAGTGCAAACGTTGATAGAAAATTACGAACCGAAAAAACTCCACGACTCTCCGGTGACAATGAAACTTGTAGTCAAGGACGATGACCCGATTTACCAGCGACCTCGACGTTTGTCTCCTCGCGATCGCGAAGAAGTGAACAGGCACATTAACCAGTGGCTGTGCGAAGGGATAATACAACCATCCCTTTCCGATTACACAAGTCCCGTTGTTCTCGTGCAAAAGAAGAACGGTGACACGAGACTCTGCATCGACTACCGTAAATTAAATTGCAAAATAGTAAGAGACCGATACCCCCTCCCGCTAATTGACGATCAAATAGATGCACTTCAAGGCGCGAGTATTTTCAGCACATTAGATCTAAAGAACGGATTTTTTCATGTCCCAGTAGATTCAGGAAGCCGAAAGTACACTTCATTTATCATCCCCGACGGTCAATATGAATTTTTATACGTTCCATTTGGACTATGCAATTCGCCCGCGGTATTCCAAAAATTCATTAACGCCATCTTTAGGAAATTGATAGACGAAAAAATAGTATTGACGTATATGGACGATCTAGTCATAATTGCGACGTGTTACAATTCTGCGATCGCGCGATTAAAGCGAGTATTACAACTCAGCGCCGAGTTCGGGTTGAACATCAACTGGCAGAAAAGTAACTTCCTCCAAACGCGTATCGAATTCTTGGGTCACATTGTAGAGAACGGCACAACCCGACCAACGGAAAAGAAAACCGACGCAGTAATAAAATTTCCTCAACCGCGAAACCTTAAAGCTATTCAAAGTTTTCTTGGACTTTCGGGATACTTTAGGAAATTTGTTCGCAATTATTCACGAATCGCACGACCATTAAGTGACCTTTTAAAAGCAAATACCCCGTTTGCGTTCGGCGAACCGCAAAAATTTGCATTCGAACAATTAAAAGCAATTCTTTCCACGAGACCGGTATTGAACCTATATCGAGAAAATGCGGACACGGAGTTACACACCGATGCCTCGACACACGGTTACGGTGCGATCCTAATGCAGCGCGACGAAAACCTGAAGTGGCACCCGGTTTATTATGCGAGCGGTAAAACAACCCCGGCCGAAGCGAAGTACTCCAGCTACGAACTCGAGGTCCTGGCGATCGTACGAGCGTTGCGTCGTTTTCGCGTGTACCTGTTAGGCATCCAATTTAGAATTATAACGGACTGCAAAGCGTTTACCCTCACGATGCAGAAAAAAGACCTGTGCGTACGTGTAGCTCGGTGGGCATTGTTGCTAGAAGAATTCCAGTACGAGATCCAACATCGCTCCGCGAAAAGCATGCAACATGTAGACGCCCTTAGCCGTTACCCCCTCCCCACGTGTCTAATCATAGACGAATGCGAAGCCAGCCTTAACGCCCGAATAACCAACGCACAACATAAGGACGCGGAACTAGCGAAAATTATTCCACTGGTCGCGGAAAGAAAATACGACGGCTACGTTATGCGAGGCCGTATATTGTTTAAGGACGATGCCGACGGTATTAAATTAGTTGTACCCCGGTCGATGCAAGCCCAGATAATACGTAGAGTCCACGATAAGGGGCACTTCGCGGCAGGTAAAACCGAAACCTTACTAAGAGAGAATATCACTTCAATAATATGCGCCCTAAAATAGAGAAATTAATTCAAAATTGTTTGAGTTGCATTTTGGCGGAAAGAAAAATGGGAAAGCAAGAGGGTTGGTTGAAACCCCTCGAAAAGGGCAATACCCCCCTCGATGTCTACCACATCGACCATTTAGGACCGCTCCCATCAACAAAGAAAAACTTTAAACATATCCTGGTGATAGTCGATGCGTTTAGCAAGTTTGTATGGCTGTATGCCACGCGATCGACTACCACCGCGGAGGTCGTGACCATTCTGCGCAAGCAAGCGACATTATTCGGTAACCCTAGGAAAATTATTTCGGATCGCGGAACGGCGTTTACATCGAACGACTTCAACGCATATTGTAAAGGCGAAGGGATCGAGCATTCCCTGATCACTACGGGAATTCCGCGAGGTAATGGCCAAGTTGAACGAATCAATCGCACGTTGATACCAGTTGTGACTAAATTAGCTGCGCCAAAAAGTGAAGAGTGGTACCGTTTCTTGTCGGTGGCTCAGCAATGTTTAAACAGCGTACCGAATCGAAGCATAGGCGTCACACCTTTCCAAATTTTGTTTGGAACATGTATGCGATTAAAAGAAAATTTAGAAGTGCGCGAGCTGATCGAGAAGGAATGGATATCGCTTTTCCAAGAAAATCGCGAAGAACTGCGAGAAAGCGCGAGACAAAATATTGCGAAGGTCCAGCAAGAAAATTCGAAAACATTTAACAAAAAGCGGAAAGCGCCTACCTTGTATCGCGAGCGTGACCTTGTAGCTATAAGAAGGACTCAGGTAGGCCCCGGTTCGAAGCTAGCCGCAAAGTACCTAGGGCCTTATGAGGTCACTAAAGTCCTACGGGGCGACCGTTATTTAGTGCGGAAGGTCGGTGACCACGAGGGCCCGACCGAGACATCGTCCGCAGCGGATTTCATGAAGCCCTGGTTACAAAATTATGGCGACCTTGCAGACTGGGACAGCGAGAGCCCAGCTGAGGACAGCTGCTAGTCAGGACGGCCGAGTGTAGGGTGTAAACGATTTGTGGTGCGTGCGAACGGTCGGTGTCATCCCGCGACGGGATGGCACCAGTATGTTTGTGGATTTGAGTGCCTGGGTCTTGAAAACTTTCGTGAGGTATGAATTGGTCATTGTTGCGTGCGTGCGGTCGGTGTCGTCTTGCGTCTGGACGGCGCCGGGATGTTTGGGAAATAGGGTGACTGCGTTTAGAAAATGTCGAGTGGCTGAAAGAATGCGAGGAAGAGTGTTTGGAACTGAGCGACTGAACCGTGAGAATGAAACGATTAGCAAGGCGTGTACGTGACTGCGTGAACCTGGACCATGGATGCGAGGATTTTGGGTGTGAGTGAAAAGGGATGATTGCGTGAGAAAGATAGAGCGACTGAGGGTGAATGCTATAAGTGCGTGAATGTTCGGCGGCGCGGCAGTTGATAGGCGACATTGAATAAGCGAGAGTGCGTTATAGCGAGAGAAGCGATTTGTGTTTTATTATTGTTCTGTTATCCTATTTTTAATAAACTATTGTTATTTGTTTGACGAATCCTCGTCCAAACTTTATTTGCGAACGACCTCTCCTAGCCAACACACTAGTTTCCTACGATACTGTATATCCACATGCTTAGCCCTTTTACATGACTCAGGGGTTTTCACCAAAATAATTGCAGCCTGGTTGTCACAGTAAATTGGCGTTGGTAAATATTGAATGCAATTTAATTCTGCAAGAATTCTTTTCAACCATATTACCTCCTTCGTTACCGAACATAAAGCAATGAACTCTGCCTCCGTTGCTGAAGTAGCAACGGTTGATTGTTTACGTGACAACCACGCTACAGGACCACCGCTCAGATGACAAATCCATCCAGTGGTGCTTTTTCTAGTATCCAGATCACCAGCCCAATCTGAATCACAATATGCAGTCAGAACTAAATCCTTTGATACCTGCCCATAGACTAAGCCATAATTTACAGTTCCTTTCAAATATTTAAATACTCGTTTAACACCATTCCAATGACTCTGATTTGGTTTTTCAGCAAATTGACTTAATACACTAACAATAAATGCCAAATCGGGTCTCGTGCCAACCATCAGAAACATGAGTGAACCAATGGCTTCTCTGTATGGAAATGACTGCTCATTACCCTCGTCTGTCAATACAGTCTTTGTAAACTTAACACTAGGATCCGCAGGTATTGCAACCGGAAAACAGCCTACATGATTAAATTTAACCAACACTCGTTCTGCATAAGCCTTTTGAAACACTTTCAGGGTTCTCATTTCTCTGTCTCTTTCTATTTGCATTCCAACGAAACACTCCGCTTCAAAATACTTTATCTTAAACATTCGACTGAGATTTGAAAGTAAATCATTCATTTTCATACGACTATTACAACAAATTATACCATCATCGACATACAGTATTACATACAAAATTATAGTCTCTGAAATCAAATAATACATACATGCATCAGCCTTGGACTGTGTCAAACCATACTCACACATGAACTCACTGATTTTCTTATTCCATTGTCTTGATGCTTGTTTCAATCCGTACAAACTTTTACGCAACAAACATACACGATCGTCTATCTCGAACCCACTTGGTTGCTCCATATAAATGGGTTCTTCCAAGTCACCATACAAGAACGCTGTTTTCACATCAAACTGCACCATTTCTAGGTCTTTCACTGCAGCAATTGATAACACTGTTCTAACTGTATTGTATTTAACGACCGGAGAATACGTTTCCTTATAATCAACACCGCCTATTTGTGTGAATCCTCTTACAACGAGCCTTGCTTTATATTTGCAGATAGTTCCGTCCGTATTATATTTTCTTCTGAAAACCCAGCGATTAGAAATAACATTAACATTACTCGGTCTAGGAGTCAAACCCCATGTTTTGTTTTCTTCAAGGGAGTCAAGTTCTTCATTTATTGCCTCGAGCCATTTATTTGAATCTTCTGCTTCCATCGCTTCTTGAATTGTCTGTGGTTCACAAGCAGCAAAGAATGTTTCTGCTATTTCCGAATGAGCTTCCGTTGATCCTGTATATCTTCTTCGTAATAAATAGGGTTCTCTCTGAATTGGTTCCCGAGGGTTCTTCTTTGACCTTGATGGCACCGATGCTTGAATTTCATCAATTTCGTTTCCTATCCGCACTGTAGACTTGCATGGCTCATTATCAGCAAAACTAATCATCTCAGTAGTCTTATTTTCCATCTCTTCATTGAAAATTACATCTCTACGAATGTAACATTTCTTTGCAACAGGGTCATACAGACGGTAGGCTTTATTTCCTTCGCTATAACCCACCATCAGGCACTTTATTGAATTTACCTCCCACTTACTTCTTTGATCTTTCGATACATGAGCGTAACACTCGCTTCCGAAAATACGTAAGTGCTTCACAGACGGGTTTTCACCGTACCATTTTTCAAAAGGCGTCAATCCATCCAATGTCTCGGTAGCCGTACGATTTTTGAGATAAACAGCTGTAGCCGTTGCCTCAGCCCATAGGTAGAGCGGCAACTTCTTTTCATGCAACATAGACTTTGCCGACTCGACAATCGTTCTATTTTGCCTCTCAATAAAACCATTTTGTTCTGGCGCCCGTGGTGTACTGGTTTCATGTCTAATACCTTTTGAAAGTAAGTAATTTTTAACAGCTCGATTACAAAATTCCTTACCGCAATCCGTTCTTAACCTCTTGATGCTGTGTCCATCTGCTTGTACATCAGCATAAAACTGCTTCAGGTGCATAAGAACTTCCGTTTTCTCCTTTATGAAATAAACATAACAGTACCTTGAGAAATCGTCCTTGAGCAATAAGAAATAATATGATCCTCCAATAGATGGCTGGCTCATCTTCCCGCACAAGTCTGCATGAAATACCTCCCCTGGATATTTCGCCCTGGTAGATTCTCCTTTTGGAAACGATGTTCGATGTTGCTTCGCATAAACACATCCTTCACAGAAAATCTCACTGTCTATCACACCATTAATCTTCAAGTCTTGTACAATCGAATTTCTCCACATGTGTTGTAGTGTTTTAAAATTTACATGTCCTAATCTTTCGTGCCATTGTTTTGGCGTTACACTTGTCACCACGTTTGCTTCTGCCGCGAGCACTGGTTTGAAATTCAGTCTGTACAGTTTGTTATCAAGTTTCCTTCCTTCAACTAACACTTTATTGTTTTTATGAAAGTACACGGTTTTTCCATCATTTTCAAAAATGACCCTCATACCTTTCTCAGACGCGCAGCCAATTGATAACAAATTCTTCTTCAGTTGCGGTACGTATAACACATCACCAATTATATGACGCACACAGGTTCCATCTGCATTTCTAACCTCGATATCGATGTCTCCTCTTCCTTCGACACTCAGCGTATTACCATCACCTACCCGAACTGTATATTCACGGTCTACATACTCTTTCATATTTTTGAACCATTCCTTTCTAAAAGACATATGTTCAGTGGCACCGGAATCTGCAAACCAAGTATCTTCGTCTTTCATGTTTGTTAATAAAACATCCTCGACGTTGAACAGCTCAGCCGAACCAGAAGGTTTTGTATTTCTGTTTTTATCTTCATTCTTCTGAGTCACCAAAGAATGACCACCTCTATAGCCACGTGCCTTTTTCCGTAGACAGTCACGAGCCCAATGACCAGCTTTCCCACAGAAATGGCATTTATTATTTCTTTTTGTGGTATTGTTTGAATCGTGGACAACACCGTGAGTGTAATTTTTCCGACGTCCTTTTGCATAATAGGCCGCTTCCGGTTCTTCGTGAGATACTTGTACATCTCGCATTTTTAACAACATTTCTTCATTTATTAAATGATCTGTTAGTCGGTCAATAGTTTGCTCAGCCCGCGGTACAGCATACCAAGCTGTGCGAACATTATCATATTTGGTAGGTAGACTGGACAAAATTTTTGCAATAACAACAGGAGCCTTTTGTTCCATATTCATGTCCTTGAGTCGCTGAGCGAGAGAAACTATGTT